CTGCCAGTTCTTTTTGCGCAAAAACAAGCAGTGTAGATGGGGCCGTTTTGTGCAAAAAAACCCCTTTTGCGCAAGATCCCTTATGCCTCAAAAAAGGAGGTATACAGGATCTAGCGCAAAAGGGGAGGGGAGTTGCGCAAAACAGCTCCATCTACACTGCTTGTTTTTGTACAAAAACCTCTTCCGCAAAAAGCACCAGCAGAGAATATTCAAATGACAGCACAACAAATGCTAACGAGCGCTTCATTTGCATTGTCTCTGCCGACAAAAGGCTGTAGACCTAGCCTATGACAGAAAACACTTCAAGCTAGAGAGTGCAGCAGCACCCCCCCAGTATCTCTGGCATAAATCTGTGGTGTAATTCAGGGCCTAGCAACAAGTTGTTCATTGGTCTGTACTGGGATTATACAGCTGGGAACTATCCCTTCCTCTGGGAAGGCTGTAAGATAATTAGACTTGGTTGGAAGTTCAATTTTTAGAAGAATTTTCATTCTTAATGAAACCTACAGAAACTGAAGATTTAAATTCTCCACTAATCATTTTGAATCAATCATTCTGTTTTGTTTTGACACAGTCAAAATGTTTTGGTTTGATTTTGATGTTTTAAATTTTTACTGCATCATACTATACAGAATTAAAACACTTCAAATTAAAAGGGCATTTCATACTGAAAAACTGAAACATTTCATTCCAAAAATGTCGTACCAGGATATTTTGGAACTCTTTTCTCCCATCTTTTCCCCAAAATTGGCATTTTGGCAAAATCAACAAGATTTTGCAAAGCTTTTAAATTTCAACAGAACTGTATTTTCCAACAGGAAATGGGTCTGCTGATATTTTCCCTACCAATTCTAGTTACAATCTAGCCATGTTTTGGTAAAGTCTAGACTACAGGTTTTTTTTAAAAAAAGTAGCCTTTTTTTGAAAAACCGTCACCTGCGTCTAGACTGCAGCCACATTCTTTCAAAAGTAAATCAAAAGAACGCTACAGTTTTCTCGATCGTGGTAAACCCCATTTTATGAGGAATAACGCCTTTTTTCGAAAGCACTCTTTCGAAAAAAGGCGCTATTGAATGCAAACTGTGCTTTTTCGAAAGAGAGCATCTAGACTCTCTTTCGAAAAAGCGTCTCACTTTTTTGAAAAATCTGCTTGTAGTCTGGACACTCTCTTTTGAAAGAGGCTTATAGTCTAGATGTAGCTTCAAAGTGCATAGTTATAGGGGGAAAATAACCCCAACTTGTATTTTAATTAAAATCCTGATTTGCAATACTGCAGTCTTTTTAAAAGCAGAGCTTTTAATGCTTTCATTTGGACATCTGCCTGGTTGAGGGTTGCAAGTCCCAAGACCCTGGAATATTTAAAAAGGGAAACTGATATACACACGACTTTCCCATTGTATGAAGAGAAACTAGTTTGATGGGGGTTTTTCCCTGTGACAAGAAAGAGCAACCATTTGTGTGTGTGTGTGTGTGTGCGCACAAACTAAAATGAAATCAAATTAAGCAGGCTATTTCTTATAAGTCTTATGCATTAAGGTCATGATTCTGGAAGACACTGGGTGTCTTCAGTACACGCTGAATTCAATAATTCATTGGAAGTTGAGAGAGCTCAATATCTTACAATATCTTACAGAAAGCACTCAGCATTTCATAGGATCAGGCCCTTAAAAATATAATCCTTATGTCACTATAACTACGTCATGCAGGATTTTCCACACCCTGAAGGTAGGGTTGCCAACCCTCCTCCCGACTGGAGGACCTGTCACCATTTGCAGCAATGGTGATATGTATAGTTCAAACCATAGTCACCCTGAATGAGTACACTAACATTCTGAGTCATTGATTAGCAGCATGCAGTCCATCCAGTCCAGTAGAATTAGCAACTGAATGCCCCCCATAGCTTCTGCTTCCCCCAGTTCCCTTTCTATCCCCATGGAGTGGCCGCCACTCTCATGGGGGTGGTGCATATGCATGAGCTGGATTGAATAGGGCACCAGCTGTGGTAGGGGCAGTCCTGATACAGCTGGTGAACTAATCCATCTACACACAGCAAAACATGGGACAGTTCCAATATTGATTCATTCATTCATTACAAGAAATCTACAGAATTCCCTCCACATCGTTATTTTGTACAATCTCTTTTGCTGCAAAAACTAAACCTGAATGAGCATGTTCAGGATCCTGATTGTATCACTATTAAGGCATGTCTACACAGTAGGGCCAAACTCAAAATAAGCTACGCAACTTGAGCTATGCTAATTGTGTAGCTTAAGTCGAAATAGCTTATTTTGACTTTTGGTGCTGTCTACACAGCAGTTATTTCAAGACAGAACACTCTTCCCCCAACTTCTCTTACTCCTTGTACAACGAGGGTTACAGGAATCAGAGTAAGCTGTCCTCCAGCTCAACATTATTTTGACATTATGTTGAAATAACTGCTTGTGTGTAGATGTGGACTATGCTATTTCAGAATAACGGCAGTTATTCCAAAATAATGCTGCTGTGTAGACATAGCCTTGAAGGTCAGGTGTGTAACTCTAAGAGAAATTGTACTTTTTCATTAGTTTTATTAAAAGCTCCTCTTTAAACTCTGTGCACCTTATACAAATATAAAAACACAAGAAATTATAAAATATTCTTAGTACGAAGGACTTTGCCATCTAAACTTCTTCACAGCATAACCATCTTAATAACACATTAAGACCAAAGAATGGTGAGAAGTCTGATTCTCACTGGCTTTTGCAAACTTTGACAAATAAGTGTTAAGAGTAGGGCAACATACATGAAGCTTTGAAGATGACATGAAGCTGTGACATCTCTGGCATGAGAAGAAACAGCCATCAGAAATGACCTGAAGTCTTGTCATCTTTGTTAAGGTATTGAAAGGCATCAAACTTTTCTTAGAAAGTGCCCATAGACTTTCTTCTGTAGAAGGTGAACAAAACCTTAGCCCTCACAACTCTTAAAAGAAAGTGTAAAACTCACTTCTACAGCTTTACTTTCCTGCAGCTTCAACAAAATCAGTGAAGATAGTGAGAAAATAGACTACTGGGGGGAAAGAAAGATAATATTAACAATAAAAACTTCAGATGCTTCAGGGAAGGAGAAAAGACTATTGGAACAGTGATAATTTTGTTTAATGGTTGGATACTACTATGGTGAGCTTAAACAGACAGATTGATTGATATTCAGTAACAAACATTAGTAGCATTTTGCATGACATTGTCACTGTCCTGGTGTATCATAGAATCATAGAATCATAGGACTGGAAGGGACCTCGAGAGGTCATCGAGTCCAGCCCCCCATCCTCAAGGCAGGACCAAGCTCCGTCTACACCATCCCTGACAGATGTCTATCTAACCTGTTCTTAAATATCTCCAGAGAGGGAGATTCCACCACCTCCCTTGGCAATTTATTCCAATATTTGACCACCCTGACAGTTAGGAATTTTTTCCTAATGTCCAATCTAAACCTCCCTTGCTACACTTTAAGCCCATTCCTCCTTGTCCTGTCCTCAGAAACCAAGAGGAACAAATTTTCTCCTTCCTCCTTGTGACACCCTTTTAGATATTTGAAAACCGCTATCATGTCCCCCCTTAATCTTCTTTTTTCCAAACTAAACAAGCCCAGTTCATAAAGCCTGGCTTCATAGGTCCTGTTCTCTAGACCTTTAATCATTCTTGTCGCTCTTCTCTGTACCCTTTCCAATTTCTCCACATCTTTCTTGAAATGTGGCGCCCAGAACTGGACACAGTACTCCAGCTGAGGCCTAACTAGTGCAGAGTAGAGCGGCAGAATGACTTCACGAGTTTTGCTTACAACACACCTGTTGATACAACCTAGAATCATATTTGCTTTTTTTGCAACAGCATCACACTGTTGACTCATATTCAACTTGTGGTCCACTATGACCCCTAGATCCCTTTCCGCCATGCTCCTTCCTAGACAGTCGCTTCCCATCTTGTATGTATGGAACTGATTGTTCCTTCCTAAGTGGAGCACTTTGCATTTCTCTTTATTAAACTTCATCCTGTTTACCTCTGACCATTTCTCTAACTTGCTAAGGTCATTTTGAATTATGTCCCTATCCTCCAAAGAAGTTGCAACCCCACCCAGTTTGGTATCAACTGCAAACTTAATAAGCGTACTCTCTATCCCAATATCTACATCATTGATGAAGATATTGAACAGTACGGGTCCCAAAACAGACCCTTGAGGAACTCCACTTGTTATCCCTTTCCAGCAGGATTTAGCACCGTTAACAACAACTCTCTGACTACGGTTATCCAGCCAATTATGCACCCACCTTATCGTGGCTCTATCTAAGTTATATTTGCCTAGTGTAGTGATGAATCATCCTCAAAACTGGAGAGGGGCCCAAGCCATGGAGGCAGATACAGTAGCCCAAAGATCAGAGATGGTCAGAGCAGTGGGCTTGCAGTCACCTCCATTCAGATCCTAAGGTTTGGGAACCCTGATAAATATCCAAAAAAAGTAGATGCCTATTAACACCTTTTGCTGTGGAAACTATATTAGAAATCCTGCAAGAACACTGTGCTACGAAAGAACCCAATGTCCTTGCTCACAGCCCCAGGTTGTAATGCTCTTTAAATGCAAAAGCCATTGGATAAACTGAATCTTAATAAAGTAAAATAAACTACACATTTGTAACGCAACATCAAACAATTGCTCTATTGGCACACCTTCATAATGGTTTCTTTATGCAAACTTTATAGCCTTTGTACTGTTTTCTGGTTCTTTTGTTTCCAGTACATTTATTGCAGCAAAAGCTGCTATAAACCTTTTAAACCTTTTTGAAGATTGGCCCTTTTCCTCCTGCTTCAGGATGTGCAGTTATACAGAGAGCTTGCATAGGCTACCAGTGGCACAGCCTAAATGGGACATTCTTTTTCTTTTAAATTATGCCATTCACAAGCACTTCATAAATACATACTGTGTACAATACACTTCAATGTTTCATTTTTCTTTATTTCCTGCAGAGATCCTTTGTTAGATTGTTCCATCCACAGAAATACAGAGGAGCAGAAAAGTAGTACTGGATGAATTGCTTTGGCTAAATAAGAATTCACCAGACCCTTCACCCAGACAGACCTTAAACTGAATCACACCTAACTTACTCCAGACTCCTAAGATGAAAACAGTTCAGGTGAAAACTTGCAATGAATTATTATAAACTACTGACAATGAAATCATAGTGTAATATTTTGTCAGCTTTCATGACGGGTTTTAACTCTGCTTTGCCCTTTTCATGCATTTCAGTAAGTTGGTGAAACGAAGAAATGCTGAACCACATGAAAATTAAAGCAAAGAGAGCAAAGGTAAAAATGATCCCAAATAATTTCAACTAAAGAGAGCAATTGAGGTTCTTGTTGTGGCTATTAAGCTGCGGTATGCAGCATTCAGCATGGTGTGTTGTTTGATGGAGCTCTGCTCCTGTAGTATTATTTATAATTGGTATTACAGTAATGGCAGAAGACCCCTATCAAGGTTCCCACTGTGCTAGGTGCTTTACATCACATGTCCCAGCCCCAGACAGTTCACAACCTTGTTCCATTAACAGTTTCTGTAGCAATTCAGGCTGACTCATCAGAATTCCTCTGGGCCTGTTTAGAATTGTGGCTTTGACTTTCACCCTGTCCTTCCCTACCCACTTTAGTGAGTCTACTGTCACTGTCAGCATTAGACTCACCCAGGGAGAACATGGACAGGGATTGTGACTGGCTTCTGCACAGGGGAGTAAGAGGATAGAAAGGCTTGCTTCTCCCTCCCCTTGTGCAGTCAGCCACTAGCTGTCCCCTAAAGGGCAAACCGGAAAAGATAAAACTGCAATATTCAGAGAAAAACAAAAAGTGAATGTAACAACAGCCAACTGTCTAAAAACATTCACAGCAGAATTATAGCAACCTTCGATCTTTACCCCACAAAGCATGAGCTTCCTTGTTCTCCCTAGATTCCATTGCTTTTGAAATCTTTAAAGAAATAAATGTCATTACTGATGAAAAGTGCCAGACTGACAGCCCTGGAGATGGAAATCTCAAATCTACTGAAAGGTGCTGTGACGATGCATTATCGTGCCAAGGTCACTAAACTCAAGATGCCAACCTCAGGAGAATGAGAGTCTCCATGGTCAGGCTTCGTGCCCATTTTGCCTGGGGTCTTTTTTGATGAAATTGTTACCAAAGGCCATGATTACAACAGATTTTCATAATGATCCTTGAGCCAAACAAAGCTTTTCACCCAGATGACTTGTGAAGCTGGAGCTTTCTTTTAAAAATTCTTTACAGAGTACAGTATTATGTCTCTTCCTAATTATAAAAGCTTTTTACAAAACCTTTACTATCCATGAAGTCTGGGCAAATGAGCATACTTAACTTCTCTTTCCTGAAATTGTTAGGTGCCATAATTGATTTTGGCTTTTAAAATGTGAAAACGGCGAGTAACCCATTGCAAAACTACAGAAACCAAATTCAGAGTAGAGGTTACAGTGCATGATATGAAGGCTGAAGTCCAGATTGTGCTCTCATGATTGCTAGTATAGCAAAGGTAGAAAATGGGAACACAATTTGACCATGATTCTTTAGTATCAAAGATGGGGGACTTTGATTTGTACAATAACTGGGCAGAACATTGCCTGGGCTTCTGGAATACATTAGGGATGTGAAAGAATAACCAGTTCTGGTTAACCTGTGGGGGCTAGAGCAGCTTTCCACCTGCTGTGGGGCTGCCACAGACAGGGGCTGCTCCAACTGTCCAGCGCTTCTCCTGTCTACAGTGAGCCCTAGCGTGTCACAGGCAGGGGCTGCTCTGGTCAGACTGGAGCAGTCCCTCCCTTTGGGGGAGCATTAGGGGACTGCTCCAGTCCGGCAAAGGTGGGGGGAAAGGCTGCTCCAACCTAATTGCACTGGCACAGCCCCCCTTTTGCCCTGCCTGCCCCCATTTAATCAGTTAACAGATTAAACATCACATTTAACTGGTTAACCAATTAAATGGGATTTTACATACCTAGACTGCATAGATGATAAATGTGCAAGATTTGCCTGTGGCAGAAGTGACTGCATTGACTGCTTCATTTATTAAACATCTTTAAGCACTAATTGGCCTTGATTCCAACCAGCATTTTTCTTGCATGGTAATCTCATGTTGACTTCTGACCAGGGGCAGATGACTGTTTTGCGGGGCCCCGGGCAGCATAACTCCGCGGGGCCCCCCCTTTGCCTCGGCGCATGCGCCATGATGCCATGTGCATGCGCGGAGGCGCCACAGCGCATGCGCGGGGCTTTTTTAAGCGTGGGGCCTGGTGCTGCCGCCCCGTTTGCTCTGCCCTATATCTGCCCCTGCTTCTGACACAAATGAGTACTAGCAAGAAAATGATATGTCATTCCCTAGCCCCAATCACCAGGAACCAGGGTGGGGGCTCCCTTATTACAGAAGATAGTTCAGGATCTGCTGACTCCAATGGTGGGTTTACACCGCCTATCACTGGTAATCAAGATCTGGGGCTTCTCAAAGGCTACACAAAGAAGCAAAACAAGCAATTGGGCCAAATACTGCAACCCTTATTCAGAGAAACTCCCGCTGAGCTCAATGGGAGTTTTCCTTGAGTAAAGGCTATAAAAGTTGGATTGTAATACTTACTTTTGGAGTTAACAAAAACAGGATCCATCTTTTCAGACTGAAAAAAATGTTGTTTATCTTATGAGAGAAATATACATATGGAACTTGTTAATTTACTTGGAGTTCTGTACAGGTTTATCTGCTCAGCTTTCATGTTTACTTTCCCCAACATTTGATGTATCATTGACCTTTAATACAGTATCAACATTAAACAAACACAAAATAAAATAACATTGTTACCAAAATCTATAGTTTCCTCTTGTGTTACCAAAATATTCTCCTCAGAGTCTCACTCATTTCCTGTCAGAAGATCCTTGGCACTCGAGCTCAAGTAAATAAACAGACCCAAGAGCTGGCCTGCTGCAGAGAGTTCGTTTGGCTGGCTGTAGAAAAGAGGAAGCTACAAGGCTATTGCTGCCATGAGGACAAACGATATTTTAGAAAATGGAAAAGACTATGCCCCCTAATAGGCCTCATCTTTTTTTCATGTTACCTTCATCCCATTTTCCTTCTTTTCATTCATCTCTCCCCTCCGCAGAAGAAACCAAGTAAAATCAATAAAAAGGTCTGGAGATTTTTCAGGTACATTCCAACAGGAGATCTCAAAGCACTTTACAAATATTAATGCCCCCCCCCCCAATATCCCTGACACACCCCTATTTTACATCTGGAGAAATTGAGGCACAGAGATATATCCAAGGTTCTTGTGGCTCCCCTCTTTGAGACTAAATCACAAAGTCATCCTTCCCTTCTTCTTATAGGGTATGTCTACACTTGCACCCTAGTTCGAACTAGGGATGCCAATGCAGGCATTCGAAATAGTCAATGAAGCGGGGATTTAAATATCCCGCACTTCATTAGCATTATCTCGCTGGCGTGCTAGTTCAAATCACAGCTGATTCTAACCAGGGAGTGCGCGCCCAGATTTGGTTCAAACTGATGTTACTCCTCAAAAAATGGTTTTTTTACTCATTTTTTGAGGAGTAACATCAGTTTGAACCAAATCTGGGCGCGCACTCCCTGGTTAGAATCAGCTGTGATTTGAACTAGCACGCCAGCGAGATAATGCTAATGAAGTGCGGGATATTTAAATCCCCGCTTCATTGACTATTTCGAATGCCTGTATCTGCATCCTTAGTTTGAACTAGAGTGCAAGTGTAGACATACCCATACACTTAAGTAGTTCTGCCTTACATCCTGTTTTGTACCCTGAATCCTCAGTTTTAGATAGGCTTGCCAATGAGGGGAGCAAAGGAGACCACTGCCTCAGAGCCCACGATTCAAAGAGACCTGGGGCTCCTGGTTGCTGCTGCTGCTGCTGCTACTTTAAATTGCTGTCAGCGCCTCAGGGGGGCACACTCTGGATGGTGCTGGGAAGAGGGGAATGTAGTCCAGGCAGTGCTGAGGGCCATCTCATCCCCATCTGCCTGAGGCCTCGCCCATTCTGGGTGTAGCAAAATACAGGACTATGTAAGTGTGGAGCCAGACTTCCCCGCTCTCCTTCAGGAGCTGTCAGCTCACCTGGTTTTAGAATACATCTCTTCTCCTTATTTTCTGGAGCTGTATTTTTAACAAATGGAATTAAATGCTGATGTTGCTATGCTCAATCTAATCTCTGCCAAGCGCACAAAATAAATCCTCTGGTATATTTTGATATTCCTTTGAAAGGAGAAAAATTCCTTTCACATGGCCTCTTGTCCCTAGAAATCTACAAGTTTCTTTGTCTTGGCTGCTAGCCAAATAGCATTGTGCTGTACCATTTTTCTTGGCCTTTTTTTTTTTTTTTTTAGTCTTTTGAAAAAAGACCAAGTGCTCACACAATATTTCTTCATCTAACAGCTGTAGGACAGTGACCACAGCTACGTATATAGTAAAATCCAGTTTCCATTTATATTAAAGTCTGTATGGTTTTGGTTTTGAGATGACAGGCTAAACTAATCCTGACATACATAACTCTGAGGCCACCTCCTAGTCACTTTGCTATAGCTGTAGGCCATGGAACACTTCAGAAAACATGGATCCCTTTGCAGGATAAATAAGTTCCCAAGCTAATTCTTTACATTCATAATATAGAACTAGAATCTCCCAAAGTAGGTGCCATATAAGTGTATTGCAGCCACACATTTAGCCAATCTGGCAGCAAACTTCTCAGGTTTATACTGCTTAGTGTCTCTCCTAAACCTAACCTGAGTCCCCCAATGCTTCAAGATTTGTCAGTCCTGACTCCCGTTGAATGGCCCAGATCAGAATGGTCCCTTACACCATATCATACCATATGCATTTAGGCTAAACTATTTGTAATACCAGCCCAGATTTGTTTGCTGACAAATGGCAATGGGATTTTATTTTTTAAAAAAATCCTCCCAAGACAGTACGTTTGTAAAACAAAACTGGCCAGGAAATATTTCTGGCAGGTCCTGAAAAATCAGCCATTCTGGAAGGGGATAAGAGTAACACATTGCTTCTTTGTATGCTTGTTAGGATTTTTGTGGTGCTCAGATGAAGGCACAATGAGGTTTTGTAGGTCTAACGATAACTGAAACAGCGTGGCAGGACAGAAAGATCTTACACATGCTTCAAAAGATACTCTATAACTGTGTGCTGAAGTATGTTGTTTTAGGCCCTGAATGGTAATATTATTAACGAGGTCCTGGTGGTCTGTATGAAATAAGAGCAAAGTTAACCAAGTTAAAAGTCATAATAG